AGCAGGAATTGCTCACTAGTTTTCTTGGATTTGGTTTTCAACTTTTTAATACACTTAACTGCAGTGGATAGTTTTAAGAAGCTTCTGAACTGAAAGCCAGAGTTTAGTGGATGTACAGATTAGTCCGTCACGTGCTACTTTGTGCTGGGGATGTGCCTTAACCACGGTTCATTCAGTGTCCTTTCAGTGCTGGCTGATAAAAGGGCCTTCAGTAGCATTTATTTTCATTGTCTGGGCCGTTAGTGTGAGCATGGGTATAGGGATATGTCTCTGTGAGTGAGATCTTTTTGTGCTATATAAAGGAGGCTTACCTTAGGAAATTCACAGGTGAAGAGGCACAAATACAGATACGGTTCCCAAATACAGCTTTGAAATGCTGTGCTTAGGGCATGCTACTGTTAGTAGTGGGAGTACCTTGGGGAAGGCCAGGTTATAGCAGTGCAAGGCAGGATGTCAGACCTTAGCCCTCCAGAGTCGTCTCTACCCCTTGGACAATTAATTCCCAAGCCTGGGAGTTTTCAAATCTCAACCAGGTTTATTAGTTCTGTTTCAAAATTCATGTGGGTGTGAAAGAATAGAGTTTTTTGCATATTTTCATTAACCCGTGAAAATAATGCAGACTGATATTTTCAAATGTAGCTGTTATGTTGTTACACGTGCACGCACATGCATATGGTGTAACTGCTTAAATCAAGGAATGTATCTTGTAAAACCTGTTCACTATCAAGAGTCACAGTAGGAGGGAATATTGTTCTTTTCAAATTGAATAATGTTTAGTTCTCTTAGTTCTGATAACTTTGTTACTGTAGCTAATATTAATAATGTTGTTAGTGTGTGATATCTGTAATTGCTTTTGATTCAAACTGATTTGTGTAAGAGATTTGTTTAACAACAAAAGGTCCTTTTATGTTCTTTAAATCTTTTTCGTCTTTCATCTCTATCTCTTAAGCAAAGCATTAATGCGTGGTGACTAACACAGGAAATTTATTTTCCAGGCATGACAGTGGAAGTGAATGTCTGTTAGTCCATGTATTACAGCTGAAGAACTTTACTAGTCTAGTTGTTAAAGAAAACTGCAAAATGTAAGCTTAAATTTCACCCAAAGTCTGATCATTGCTTGTTTTGTGCCGCAGTCATAAATACCATAAATCTGTTTGCTTTCATGCAAAATTAAGCTGTTTCTGGAGAAGATGGTATGTCTTAGCTTACATGAGGAAAGGGTTAATTTTATGGACACAAACTGTCCCTTTTATAGAACCTCTGTCGTGATGGTCAAGTAACAAGCGTAGTCTCTAACGACACATGTTCTTATGTGTTTATTATGCACAGGAAAGTTTCTTCAAAAACATCAAAGTCACGTTTCCATCACCCTATGCCATCTGGCCAAAAAGCTGTCTACATTTTTCACAGTATTCCAGGAATATTATTTCCAGTACAGCTTCTCTACAGCTTATCTGTGATGTATCCCAGAGTTAGCTTAGTGTAATTTTCTCAAATTCCTATGGTCACATCTATTTTAATCAGTAAGAGAGATACTTTGCCATTTATCTTAAAAAAAAAAACAAACCACAAAACCCCCCAAAAAACCCAAAACCAAAAAAAAACCCCAAAAACCCAACACACAAACAGCAACAAAAAAACCCGAACAGGACATATGTAGACTTTAGTGGCCTTTACAGTTCTCCTTGAATATCTGTGAAACACCTTCCAAAGATAATTTTAACACAAATACAAGCTGGGACTCAGTATAAACAGTTGAAGTTTTCAACCTCTGTCGGCCTGTGCTACTTTTTCAAATTCCATATTGCGTTATATAGAATGATGCTTCGTTTATTCTAATGAATACCTCTTAAGGACAGTGTTGCCATAAAACAGAGTCTTGTCCAGGGATATGTATCTCAACATATTTTAAAGAAATTTGACCTCTGAAAATTTGATCTTTATCTCTGGGAGAGGTTGTTTGAAAACTGTGGAAAATGGAAGTAAAACGTTGTATTGTAAAAGAAGTCATTCTGTGGGAGTTGTTACATTGACATACTTCTGACTGAACGAGTTGATCTTTGTTGAGATCTTGAGCTTGATCTTGCTAACCCGACAAACTTCTAGTGCAAATTCTTCATATATAGGTCAGTGCATCAGTGGTGGCCTTTTGCTTTGTTTTCAGTCTGTGTGCAAGGGCACGCAGTAGGGAAGAAAAGTGAGTATTGAGTAGTACTCAACCATATTGCCTTTTGATTTGAAAAAGGAATAAGCATCATCTGAAGAAAGTAAAGTAGAGTCACTAAGGCAAAAAAAGACTCCAGAGGGTTTGTTGGACATTGTCATCAAGGTAATTGGGCATCTGAGTGACTCTCAAAAGGCAATTCCATTCCCCATCCTTCTCAGTTAACTTCTCAGTTAACTGCCATCAAGAAATTGCATGGCTGCAGGATAAATTGATTGGTTTGACTGGTCAAAAAAGAAGCTTATCTTACCAAAACCAGAAAAGGCTTTTAGCCAGTTTAATGAACTTACATGCAACTGTACGTTCATTGGATCAGTTGCTGGGGGCAGCAGGGAGGAGGTTACCTGCAGCAGCCAGTGAGCCGAGGAGCTGGATGACTCCCTTTTCACAGCCAGTAAAGCTGTTTAGCTGACTGATGCTCCACACTCCAGCACTGCAGTTCCACCATCGTGAGCTCTTCCAATTGTCCTCTTAACTGTTTATTTGCCTGTCAGTGTCAGCTCCTCTCTGGTGGTGGCAAAAGAGTTCGTGCAGCCTTGTAGTCAACTTGAGTGAGCCTGTGAGCTGGAGGTTTTTTTTTTTAATCCTTGAGCTTTTTATTTTTTTTTTCTAAATTAGCTTTTTAATGCAGAGACGTTTTCTAATCTGTTTCACAGCACAGTTGCATGAAGCTGTTTGCTGGCACAGGGAAGGTATGGCAAAAATAGTATCTTGCAGTGGCTGGACAAGCAGTCAGGACAGGGAGAACACAGAAACGCTCTAATTAGATCTGCTGCCTTCTGTCAGATTAAAATGGTTGTGGATTTTGATTTTGGCTTGGAGCCTCAATTGAGATGGTACCAGATATTTAAACTTTGTTTTTAAGATGGCAGATGGATGCAATGATTGTAGGCTTCTTTTGCCATCCTTTTATGTGGAGCTTCTGGGTCATGGGGCGGGGGGGGTGTATGTTTAGTGGGTGGAAGGAAGAAATGGATCGGTGACACCTACGGGGCAATTCAATCGCCTAAACATAGGCACGTGTTTCCATCTGAAATATCATAGCACAGCACCTGGCCTCCAGCTGCTGCTGCTCAGGGAGGCTGTAGCTCTCCCATAGATCCTATGTTGTATTTGCTAGCCCCATATAGATGCCTTAGATACCTCAGGGCATCTCAAGGGCCACTTGGTGCCTCTGCTAAGCATCAAGTTAAGAAAAATCAGTTAGGCAAAGGTAGTGTTTCCAAATCATCTTTGCAGTTCTTCTGTGTTAAGAATACAAAGTAAATTCCTGTAACAAGGAAATCCCAGACCATATTCATAATGTAGAAGTTACACTGATGTTTTTGCTTAGCTTGATTTTGAGAAATGCAGAATAGCTTTCTTTGTCTGAATTGTGCTGTTTGTCTATTTTGCTGTTCCCAGTCATGTGAGAGTTTATTTGCCACCGCTTGAGTCAGGCACACCAACCACTTACTGCTCCAGAGCTTTGGAATTCCAAACTCCATTAATATTTAATGAAGTTTTCCGAATCCCTGTGCATTCCAGTGTTTTGAAGTTAAAATCACTGCAGTTGTATATCTGTTCAGTTGACCATCAGCAACAAGAAGAACTCTTGGTAAGTGGTTCTTTTTCTTAAAAGCCCTGTGATATGGGAAACTAGTTACTTGAGGAATAATTTTTAAGATTAAAAGCAGTAAGTCAAGACTTTATTTTTCCATAATATGTTACAAGTTCCATAGAGTTATATGTTAATGTGTCCTTTGGTTCACACACGTAAATATGGTTCTACTAATAAAAAAGGTGGGATTTTTATGAAGTTGAAATATGTGCATTTTAGGCTACATAAAGCCTTGGAAATAATTAGCAAAATTAGCAGAGGTTGAGAATTAGAGCCTTTTAAGCAGTGTTGAAAGTAATGTTCTGTACTATTATTTACTGTTACGTTGCAGAGGCATGTTGAAGATTTATGTAAAGTTTGCATTCATTGCTATGGCATTTAGTAGATAAGGAGTTAATTTTTTTATTTGTTTAATGCATTTCTTACAAATGTCTGCTTTGGGGAAAGCTGAAAAACCTGCCATTGCTAAATTTTGGTGCAAGAGAAAAAGCGTTGTGTAAAAATTAAACTTTTCCCCAAAGACTTCATCTGACAGCTTTTAGACTACAGTGTGCTCGGGACTTCTGTTTCTGTGTGGCACTGTAACATGTGCATGATAAATCAGTAAAATAGTTTCCTAATAAAAACAGATACAAACCCCTTGTTGCTATGTAGCAATCATCAAAGATGACTACTATTATAGTAGTCTTAACTTTGTTGCAGGATAGTAGTGGTCTAGGCAGGTTTCTGTTACACCTTTTACTTTAAACTGATTGAGGTATCTGAATAGATGCATACAAATAAATGTAGCAGTTGTTTAGATAGGTTACGTATGTTAAACTGTGTTAACTTGAGATGTGTTAAATGTTAGCTTCATTTAGCTATTGTCAAATGTAAATAAGCTTAAATAAACCTGCCTTGGCTGGTGTCCTGGCTGTTTTGAAGTCAGTGGTCTGGCATTTCAGTGAGGGTTTGGATGGATTAGTGAAATTTTTTTTAAGCCTGTCAAAGTAGTTAAGAGGTAGAGGCACCTGACTGTCATGCTGGACTATGGATAAGAGGTATTTATTTGGGCAAATCTGGTCAAGAATGCATGTTTGTTAGTCCACCTTTAAAACTAGGTAGTGTGTTACACAAACAGTGGTCTTAATGTTGACAGAAGTGGACTCAAGGTCTTCTCTGCAGCTGGAAGTTTTGTTATTTTTGCACTACAACCCAATGAAAGAGAAAGCATCTCACTCAAGAACGGGCCAGATATATTGATGTAAAATGCTTCATACTGATGTGACCTGTTTCTCTAGGAAGCTAAGTAGCTATTTCAGTGTAAAGTATCTTTATATTCACACAAGTGCGTGTAAGTTTAGGGCGCTTTTTATTTTAACTGCTACTACTGAATAGCAAAAAATGATAGGTCTTCAGGTTGTGTGGGTAGGAATTTTTTCTTGTATAGTCTTAGTGTAGTATTGTTAGAAATGTCTTTGCCTACAGTAGTTTGTAACATACTTTAGGGAAAGTTAACAATGTCACTCAAAAAGAGAGAAACAGTGCCACAATTTCTTAAGGTAAGTGCATTGAAGTATGTATGTAAACATTATGATTCTTGCCTTCATTTGCTGTAAATTGAAAATAAGCATTTTCTCAACTTGAGAAATCATTTGGTACCTTTCTTTGGAACTGCTGCTATGGCCCCTATAATTGTCTTTCAAAATCTCTTCCACTAAGATTACAGTTTTTTCCATCTATTTAATCATCCATATAGTTACAAAGTTCTTTATGATGCCTTTCTTTTGAATTAGATTATGCCAGTTTAATGCTTTCCTAAATGCAGAAGCCAGGCTGGAGTTTATCCTCAGTTATACAAATAATTGTACATAACAGGAAATGAAAAAAAAAAAAAAAAGGAAAGAAATATTCTGGCAAATAGTTCTAAACTTCACCTACATAGGGAATTAAATCTACTAAACTTGTGGGATGGTCTTTCCATTCCCTCAACCTTTTACTCATATGCCTTTCCTTGCTGAAAGATCTTTTTGTTTTGCTAAAGCTTTCTGAAACTGTGCTTCCTGAAGTTGACTTGTTTCTTCCCTTGTGGCCTCATCAATGTTGAGATAAGGGAGTTGTTCTTTTCCATGATTAGCATATATAGCTCATGTTAAAACATCAGAGAAATTCAATTGCCTTTCTTGCAATCATGTGGCATTGCTGTTTCACTCAGTTTCTGAGCTTTTACAGCCCTGACCAACCAGTTATTCCCCGCGTCTTAATTTATCTGAATTCTTCTCCTTGAGTGTAACATTTGTCTTTTTGAATTTTGTATTTTTATTTCAGAACATGCATCCTATTTTTTAACACAATTTTAAATTCAGATCCTTTTCTCATAAATTTTACAATCCCTCTGTTTGACATCACCAAGAGATTCATAAATGCTTTTACTATTCTGCCATCCAAGTTGTTAACAAATGCGTCGGGGTAGGCACGTGACAGACCGCTAGCAGACCCATCTTGGTTTCTTCATCCTTTTGAGGGAGCTCCAAATCTTGAGGTGGAGGTGAAATATTAATTAGTCCTTTCAGTATTGATAATTATTAATTGGGTTTGATGGTGATTTTCTACCCAATTAGTCATTCACTTGGTAGTAACAGCTTCTTTGGCGTGCCTGCTTAGCCACTTAATAAATGCAGAGTGTAGGGCAGTGTCAGACACCTGAAGAGTCAACGTATGGTTTTTACCAATATTGGTGGCAGGAAAACAGCTTTTCCGTCTACTCCTAGAACCAAACCCAGCATATCTTAAATGTTTTCCAACTCTAATGAAAAAGTGTGAGTATTTGACGCATTTCTTTCTTACACTGTGTCAGAACAAGTAGATAATTAGAAGACATCTCTGTTTTATATGTAGAAGAAAAGGCATCTGTTTGTAGCATCCAATATACTGACATAAACTGATTTCTCGTTAACATGTTGTATCCTGATATGACATTCTTTTTTAGTTTCAAAAACTGTTCTCCATCATCCTTTATACACTTGTTTAAACAGAGCCCCAGGGAACATTCGGCTTAGAAAAACAATACAATGATTTTTATTATTTTCTAATTAAATACTTCTTTACCTGCTTAAAGTTGAATGCAGTTTCTGTATACATTTCCTACTGCCTTTACAGTTAGAATCATTGCATCCAGCTGTTTGTTTTGGGAGAGATGAAAACAATTTTCACATGTTTTTTTCCAGTGATATAGATGGAAACGTTCTCAGCATGTGGTCCATTAGCATGGAAGTGAACAGGTTGTAGAGATAGCAAGATAAAGCCAAAACCGGTAATTAAAGGCTAGGTAATATAAAATCATCACTAGGCCCAGCTAGTGAACTGATTAAAAAAAAAAAAAGAAGAGACATGGATTTGCTCATGGTTTTATTTCATTTAGGTCATCACCACTCAGAAATTTCTTACATGAGCAATGTCTGATGGAGTAGGGCTACTTTGAAACTGGGAATACTTTTAGTGGGAAGCCTCCATTAAACCTATTTTCAGATGAATCTGGGAGATGTAAGGATGGCTTGGAAAGTGGGAAAATGGCTTTATGACCCATTTGGCTAACTTAGGATATAAATACGCAGAAAAAAAAAATTGTTATACGTGACACTTTTTTTCCATTTGGAAGATGCCTCTGAGGACCAGAGAGCGGAAGGGTATCTCAGAGGAAAACAGATTAAAGTAATATTGTTAAAGTAATACTAGTTCAGGCAAATGTAGAAATCAGATATGTAGTTGAGAGGGGTTTTTAGCAAACTATTAAGAGCTGTCAGCTGTAACAAGTATATCTACATTAGTCATAGAAATTTTATTTTTTGACTTAGAAAAAAAATTGAGTAGCTACTCTGATCCTTTCTGGTAGTAAGCAAGAGGCAAGAAATTCAGTATCTTAGACATCATAACACAACAGAACATAACTGTCTCTTTTTAAGAGACACTATTAGTATTTAATGGGTTTTTTTACATTGTAAGTAAAATACTCTTTAAATGAGAACATGTTTATCCTGCAGTGTATGTTTATCTTATTGTAGTTAACATTTTTTCTTGTTTACAGGGCATTGCTCAGATAAACCTGACTGATGCAGAGAGTTCTGGTGAGATGCAGCTTCACTGGTATTCTGTACAGATCTTCACTGGTTCAGACCCCCAGAGAGCAAAGAACAGAAACCAGTGTGACGAAAGTATTCCCCGGTCTTCTGGAAATGTAACTACAGTTAAAACAGTATGACTCTGAAAAAAGTGGTTTGTTTACTTTATTTGACCTGCTGGGTGGGTGGTTGTGAGCTTATCTCAGGTGCAGTTTGTTTTCAAGGTGCATAGAAGGTGATACCTTAATTTAGCTCTTGTGGCAAGAGCTGGATTTTGAAATAATAATTAAAAGCTACATCATGTGTGGATAAGTGCTTGAAATAGTACTCTGTGTATGTTTCACAGAATCACAGAATAGTAGGGGTTGGAAGGGACCTCTGTGGGTCATCTAGTCCAATCCTCCTGCCGAAGCAGGGTCACCTACAGCAGGCTGCACAGGACCACGTCCAGGTGGGTCTTGAATATCTCCAGAGAAGGAGACTCCACAACCTCCCTGGGCAGCCTGTTCCAGTGCTCCGTCACCCTCAGAGGGAAGAAGTTCTTCCTCATGTTCAGACGGAACTTCCTGTGCCTCAGTTTGTGCCCGTTGCCCCTTGTCCTGTCACTGGGCACCACTGAAAAGAGCTTGGCCCCATCCTCCTGACACCCACCCTTCAGATATTTATAAGCATAACTTAAGTATGCACACTTCCAGTCCAACTAACTAAAACTCAATAATAATTTATGCCACTGTACTTCAAGAGCCTGTCAAGACAGGCTGTGCAATTTCCATCCTTGGAAATTTTTCAGCCCTTGACTGGGCCCTGAGCAACCTGATGGGACTCTGAAGCTGGCCCTGCTTTGGGCAGGACATGGGGCTGGGTGACCTCCAGAGGTCTCTTCTGACCTAACTTGCTGGATGATGCTCCACAGTGAGATAGTCAGCCCTGTTTCTGTGAGGAGTTGCATTCAGGGAATACCACGTCCTTTTTGATAATGAAGATTCAGGACGGATGTTTCGGGTTTGGGTTTCTTCTGGTTGCGGTTTTCTTTCTTTTCTTTTTTTAAGGAACATGCAGTAGCCATGTGGTTTTGTTGTTTTCTCTGAGTAATATACATTAAATACAATGGCCTGTTCAAATGGCTTAATTTGAAGTCTAGTTTACCTTTCAGGACGCAGTGACAGCCCTGTTAGCTAGGACCACCGCCCAGCTGGAAGCAGTTGAGAGAGAGTTGGCAGAAGAGAGAGTGAAACTGGAGTACACCGAGGAAGAAATCCTGGAGATGGAAAGAAAGGAAGACCAAGCGGAAGCCATATCAGAAAGGTAAAAAAAGTAGTTTAAGTACCTCATCAAACAGCTGAGTGATATTCACCCTGTGGGTATAGTCTGAAATACAGCAGGAGAAACAGCAGGTCTTTATTCTGAGATCTGGTCCCTGTTAGTGTTACGAGTATAAAATTCTGTTGTTATGTGGCAATGTGCAAACAGGAGAAAACCTAATTTTAATAGCTGGCTGAGTTTAGAGGACTTGGAATCTGGGGAGTGGGAAAACGTTATATCAGACAAACTTTGCTAGGGAGGCAACTGTAATGGGTTTGTAACAGCACTGTACTGAAAAAAAGTAAATAAAATTTTGTGGTGACATGGAAAAATTTCGAAGAAAGGTATGCATTGCGGTGCTTATGGAGTGAACATGCAGCACAGCTCTTACTATTTCAGGGTTTATTACAATGCTATTTCATTATTAATAATATTCCTAGTTTGTTACATGAGTTATATTTTTCTTTTTGTTATTGTTTTCTTAATATTGTTATAAAGACCAGAACATACGCTTTAAGAAAATTAGGGAAGGTGACTGTTTGGTTTTTTTTTTTTGCATGTATTTGCTTGTCTGTGCATCTTCAGAAATGCAAGCAGAATATGTTCTCCCTGTGCAAATTCTGTATTTTTATTGGAGAAATAGTAGTCTAAAATGATAAACTGTCCTGGATAATGAAATTTATAAACATGACACATAATTGCATGAGTTTTCTTTAATACCTATGAAATCCTTGTGATGTTCTGACTTTAGGAGCTGGCAAGCAGAATCTGTTGACAGTGGATGCAGTAATTGCACCCAGACTAGTCCTCCTTACCCAGAGCCATTTTGCGGGGATTCGTTAGCTGGGCACGTGTTTGCAGCTCAAGCAGGCCAGTACGGTTCTGGAAGAACGCAGCCTCCGCCACTGAAGGTAAAGAGAGAAGACGGTGCAGTACGGAAACTGCCGTGCTGCCTGGCGTGCGCAGAGTGTGTTGCTGCTGCTCCTCGAGTTTGAGGCCGGACTGATCAGGAGAGAAGGGAACCAGAAATGCCATAATCAGCCCTGTATGAGCACTGCCTTCATGACAGCGGCGTGCCTTTTGAGTTAGAAATGCCCTCTTTAGGGCTGGGCTTTTTTCTTTGCTTGCTAGTTATTTCTGGGCAGAACTAGTTTTTTTATATCAAAAGGCAAGCTCTTTTTATTGTGGCCTTTGTCCAATCTGTAAATATGCACCCATGTCAATATCTGTGTTGACTTGACATTATAACAGAAAATACCATGATCAAATTCCAGTGCTCCTGAAAATAAGAATTTTTGGAGGAATTGTGAAGAAAGAAGCTTAATGTTTTAAGACTTGCATTACTATTTCAGTGTTACAATAAATGCAGCTGAAACTTTCAGAACAACTGTGCTGAAACTGATTTATTTAAAATCCTTGTATTCAAGATACGAGACATTGAAAATAATGCTGAATAAGCTGAAATCGGCACACTTCCATTGAAGCAGAGGAACACAAGCTGTTTGTGTTGCCTTCAGGGAAGATCAGACCTCCTTTTGAAAAGTCTTATCTTAAAGTTTAGGAGCTTTGCTAGAGTAGCAGGTGTTTTCTGTGTTTCTCAATATTTTAGTGTTCCTGTATCATTGTTTTAACAGTCTTTCAGTTCCCTGTTGTTGAGTTTCTTCTCTTCATTTGGTTTTGTCTGGTTTTAAGGTGGTTGCTTTCTTCAGAGTCTCCTTGCCTATTGAAAGGTGACTCAGTTTTCTTCTGTTGAGGCTGGAGATCAGGTGGTAGCTTGGTTAATGCCCAACTGCCAGTGCTGAATGCACTCTTTGTGCTCTGCAGCTATGCTTCACGTTGTAACTGCATCTCATAGTTGTTACTGTTCCAGCAAAGTCTTCTGAAAGGTAATCTTACCATTTCGAATGACCTAGTTTTAAAACTTTTTAAAAAATGAGTTGATTCATCCTCTGTTCTCATTGCTCATTAAAACTTGAACCTGGCTAGCAGGGCAAATTGTTTACTTTTGATACTGTTGAAATGTCTGATTGTTTTTGGCGAGAGAGAGAAAACAAGGAAAAAAGAAAATATTTCCTTCATTGAAATTTCAGGTGGATAAGGAAACTAACACTGAGGATCTGTTTCCTGAAGAAGTTGCTATTCTTCCAAAAGAGAGAACTAGCCGCAGGCCACGGGGTTCTGCTTTTGTTCGCAGTAGCACTATTGTTCGTTCCCAGACCTTCTCGCCTGGAGCACGAAGTCAATATGTTTGCAGAGTGAGTAAAGCTTAAAAAGAAGGGGGAGAGGGGCCTCCACACAAGTATTTTGTATATTTTTGAGAATTTCTTTTTAAGGCTTTAATACATTACTTTAATATTATATATTTATTGTATTACTTTATTACATAAGAAACATATACTGCTTTTTAATACTGATGAGTAGTCTTTCATTGAATTTAAACATTGCAGTGGGGAAGAGGTCCCCTGGTTCTTTTTAAGAATTTAAACCTGAATTTATTTCATTTGAAGTTTAAGAATCTATGACAAATGAGATATTAAACTCATTTTCCTGGCAACCTTAGATGTTAGGCTAGGGTGACTGATTTTACAGAGGTACAGTGCTGTCTAATGAGGTGTATAAACAGTTAGCTTAGAAGCCGTGTTTAACTTTCAGGTACCTAAAAGTTTGGGAAAGGGGAGTGAATGCATAAGCTTAGGGTTATTGCATAAATATTCTTACGACTCTGGTTGCTGCCATGAATGTCAGTCATAGGATGCCTGTTACAGCGGGACCTAGGATTCCTGGGTGCACTGGTGCAAGTAATTGAGGATTGGCACAGCAGTTTTCCAGCTCGTGTTAGGTGGTTGCTATGTTCAGTGGCGAAAGGCAGTTGGCTCATGGTATTGCAGATCAATACATGGGTATTGATTTTGCAGTGCTGGTGGAATGCAAATTGCTTTAATTAAAGCTACTCTTTCATAAGCTTTTGAGAGCTTGGGTTTCAAAATGCAATAATGATTTTTAACTTTTATGCTTTTTCCTAAACCAAAGATCTTCTGTTTTTTTCCCTCTTATTTACATTGCACACAGTGCATCTATGAACCACTTCAAATTTTTCAGTTTGATTTCTGGATTCTGTATTCATTTATGATGTAGGGAATGTGAACACACCAGAACAAAGGTAGTGCAAAAAGGAAAATATTGTTAAACACCCTCACTTAATCTGCATTTACATAAAATCCGAGGGGTGTGGGGGGGGCAGTGGGAGACTGTATTGTTTGTGTGCATGACAGTAAATGCGTTAAAGGCAATAATATCTCTTCCTAACTCTCCTGTCGCCCTTCTTTAAAATGCATTGTCTTGGATATTTAGTAGAGTGCTTGACGAAACTTAGCTATAAAATGTTGATGATTTTGAATTTTTCTTAAATTATTGTAGCTGTACAGTATGACCACAACTATATATAAAAATATTTATAAATAACTAAAGTTGAAAAAAATCAGTTGCTTGAAACAAGACAGTTTCAGTGCAGTTAATAAATCTCAAAAGAAAAAAACCATCCAGATTTCTTAATGTAGGCGACCTTGTAAGCAATCTGTGTTTTCGATATCTTTTCTACTCAGCTGTATCGCAGTGACAGTGACAGTTCAACTCTGCCAAGGAAGTCCCCTTTTGTCCGGAATACATTGGAGAGGCGCACTCTACGGTATAAGCAGGTATACCTAGGAAACTTGATTTTTACTTTTCACTAAGTTGCTGAAACACTGGTACTTTCATACCTTAGCTTTAGATGTCTGCAGGTACATTCTGATGTTTTCAGGAAATGTAAGAGACTTCTGTAATGTGTTTGGGGAGGGTATGGCAGTGTGTGCATGTTTTGGGTGTGGTTTGGGTTTTTTAAGCTAAAAGGTAGACAGAGAGAAGTGAAATATAGTTGTGAAGAATTACTGAGGAGAAAAAAAGGTGTGGCAGACAAAAATTAGTTGAACAGGGACTGAATTCGTATTGATTCAGATGTAGACTTTGTTAAATCGTTAAAATCTAGTTAATAGCGATGCCGGGTGCAGGCCCAGAGAAGTGTGTGTGAATGTGAGAGTAAAACATGCAGCTCCTCCAGCTACCCTCCTGTGCATCCTGGCAAACCGCAGTGTTTGAGGCCCAGGTATTGAGGAATGAACAGGTTAAGCTCTCCCCTCTGCCACCCTGCACCCTGCAGAACAAGTGGGCAGGGAAGCGCAGGTACGGCGTTAATGCCCTGCGTGCACACGGCATACGGTTTAGCCTGGTCAGCAGAAGTTCATTTATTGCTGGTGCAGGCAGGTGGACAGTTATGCCTCCCTTTTTGATTCGGAACGGATCTTAAAACCACTATTAAATAAAGCCTTTTAAGGGGAATCTTGCTCAGTACAGTGTTTACTGATGTCATGACTCAGTTATAAGTTTTTCATGTTGCGTCCCTTTTATTATCATCATAACACAAAAGTTTAGTCCGTAAGCTTAAATTAGTTAAATATTTATAAGCCAAAAGGAGACTGTAAAAGGAGGCAGTAGAAAGCATTAATTGTAAAAGGTTGTGTGTGGTACAGAAGCCCCCTACAGCTAGTTAGCCTTTCACTGTGGGATCTCTCAAAAACTTTGTGTGTAGTGAGTACAGAAAATGTATGCTCTATGTAGCTAAAGATAGACCAGTATACCATCCTGAGAATAATGTATTCTGCATTTTATTAATAATCAGCAGTCCTGCAGATCATCTTTAGCTGAGCTTATGGCGAGGACGTCGTTAGACCTGGAGCTGGATCTCCAGGCATCCAGAACTAGACAGAGACAGCTGAACGAGGAGATATGTGTTTTAAGAGAGTTGAGACAGCGTCTGGAAGATGCCCAGCTCAGAGGGCAGACAGATCTACCCCACTGGGTCCTTCGGGATGAGCGATTCCGAAACTTGTTGAAGGAAGCAGAGAGGCAGGTATGGAAACGTGAGACAAGCACTCAACATGTCCAGAAACTCCTGGTTTCAAAATTTCTTGATCGTGACAAGATGTCTAAAGAGCTGTTTTTACAGAACTTCAAACAATGAATGTTGCTTCTATGTTCTTGAAGTTAGCACAATAAAAATGATTGCGTTGATTATTACCAAACTGTGCCTTTATTTGAAGACAGTTGCTGGAGAATGGCACTATTTGCCAATGGCATTTGTTGTTTTGGAAGTTTTTGGTTTGTTTTGGGTTTTTTTGTTTTGTTGTAGATATTTATTGTTGGAACTTTAATAATTTCCTTACTTCTCACAGAATCACAGAATGTTAGGGGTTGGAAGGGACATCTGTGGGTCATCTAGTCCAACCCCCCTGCCAAAGCAGGGTCCCCTATGCTATTAAGGAGACTCCACAACCTCCCTGGGCAGCCTGTGCCAGTGCTCCGTCATCCTCAGAGTGAAGAAATTCTTCCTCATGTTCAGACGGAACTTCCTGTGCTTCAATTTGTGCCCTGGTCTTTTTGAAGAAATTTTGCTGATTTGATATTTCATTTTTTACAAGTATTTGGAATTTTCCCTAAATATATGATTTTTTCCTTTTCTTGGACAAAGAAATTATAGGCAAAAAGTGGGAAAAACTGCACAACAAAATTGCCATTGGATTATCTGAGGCAAAGAGTGAGCGTACATTTATTTTAAGGTCTTGTTTGACAGATCTATGTGCAGTAAATTTCATGAATTTAATACATATCTGTCTGAAGAGCATTAAGAAATGAAACAATACTGTCAGTCTTTTGAATTTATGTTTCTTAGATGGTCAGGTATTTCGGACAATGTACTTGTGTGCTTTTTACTGTGATGAGTGGAAAAAAATACATTATTTTAATCTGCGTATTCTTGTTTTATTTATTCACATGACCATTTTAAAGCATTATGTTCTTGTTTTCAGACTAGACAGACCAAATTTGAACATCACCAAGAGCAAGCAGCTGAAAAGATGCTAAAGAAAGCATCCAAAGAAATATACCAGTTGCGTGGGCAAAACCAGAAGGAGCCTATTCAGGTGCAGACTTTTAGGTAAGTGGTAATGTGTACTGAGATAGCATAGCAACAGTTCATTAGAGAGCTAAAAGCTTTCTGAAGCATTTAGCGTATTTTCTGTGTGTCTGCTGTATAGCCAGTAATTTGTAACTGTTTATTGATTTGGACACATGAGTTTCCTTTGAATTGTCTGTAGTGCAAAGAGCCAACACTAAGGTAAAATTGCAGTGATACAATGCTAAAACACATGAAATTAAAAAAAAAAAAATCGCCTTCAAGTGCAAACAATAACTTAAGTGATTCTTTCAACTTAGGCTAGACACTGTTAAGTTCAAATGATTTGTCATTTCTTCAATACGAGCCTGTGAGCATAAATAGTTGGTTTAATGTAATACATACATGCTGTCAGTAACACTGTCTGCCAAAAAATTACTTAATAATATTCCAGCTTTCTCCAAGAAGCCTTTTCTTTGGACTTTTTTACCTTATTTCATCTGTGTTCACGTGTTATGTGTCCTCTCTTAGCTTTATTTTTTTTCTGACAGTTTATTTTGTGTACAAGCGACATTGATTAACAGTGTGGATTTCAGTGGAAGACTTCATTACTTCAGAATTAAAATTTTTATCATTTTTATAGGGAGAGTAACAGAGTAAGAAAATGTTAGTGCAGCGTAGATGTGGAGGACAGCACAACTACAGTGTTGCATCATACTGTTTCATCCAGCGATCAGATTTCTAGAACTTTCTTGCAGGGAATACTTCAGTGAAATAGAAAAGCTGCCCATTCTTTACTGTAATTTTTTTGCTTGCTTTAGATTGGAAAGGTCTTTGTCACAAAGGTGGGGAGGAAGGAAGAGGAATAGAAATTTTAGGTTTGTTCTCACGTATCATATTCCTGGTGATGAGAGGGGGTTTTACGCTTTGTCTACTGAGATGTAAAAACGTATGAGGAATTGAATAAAATGAGATATAGAAAATGAAGCAAAAGCTGTCTTCTGTGTTTAAATTCTTGTCCTTTTTCTGCACACATCCATTTCTTATGACGCTTACTTTACAGCATGTACTGTTTGCTCAAGAAAAGAAAAAAGATGACTCTGAATGCCGTTGTTTTTTTTCCTTTTTTCTGTAGGCATTATTGCAAAATGTCCAAGGGTGAACTTTGCGTTACAGAAGGGGCTTACGCAGGGTTTGTCCTGTGAAACCTTTTTACAGTCAGCTGTGACTGATGTTCAATGACTTAGCTTCCACCTAAATTTTCAAAAATAGTAGTTGTGTTCCATGGAATGTTGCCAAAAGTATACAGCGAGGTTTAATAGTTTTTGCAAGCTTCTTGTACTCAAATAAGCCGTCAGTTCAGTATGTAAATAACAAATACTAACCAGAGTAAAGAAACCACGTTTGGAGGTGGGGGGGGGAAATGTAGGCATGTATTTGATTGACTTTCTTTTTGTCTTGTTTTGGTCACAGAGAGAAGATAGCTTTTTTTACAAGACCAAGGATTAACATACCTCCTCTGCCAGCTGACGATGTATGACATGTTGCATTGTAAACATGAAGTATTTATCGCTTTTATTTTAATGAAGTTATTAGATTAGCCAAGTTTCTTTTAAAAGAATTGTGCAAAAGCTAATATAAACATTTTGTAAAAAATAAAAAAAGTAAAAAAAGTAAAAGTAAACAAAACCATATATATAAATATATATACATATATATTTTATAATAGCGACTGCAACAAGGCTTGGTTTTTCCTTGTTGTGAAACTGACATCTCTGAAGACAACCTATTTTATAAAAGATCGACTATCCTGTTAAGAGCGTGTACAGTTTTTATGCTGTTTTATTTGACTTAAAGGCTGGAAGACAGAAACAAAGTGAGTTCAGGCAAATTCACTGTAGTGTAATTTATTTATAGTGCCTTTTTCCTTGAAGGAAAATACCTACTTTAAGATGTATTTTAAGACTGAAATTTTGTTCTTCAGTATTTGTCATACAGTAGAATGGAACCATTGAGCTGGTTTTGTTTCTGATACCTGAAATGAAAATACTATGTTCTAAAATTGTCACTTTTTTGAGCTTTATTATCTGTAGCTTATTATGTACATTGTATCCTTTAGCACTGTCTGTGTTATAGCAAAATATTATCACCTGCAATGTGTTTAACACTGATTAGAATTGATGTTAAACATTGCAGAATTCATTTGCATGTTCTTACTGTGCACTAATAGATTGTTTTCATTTCAGTTGTCTAAAGTATCTTTATATTCTTAACTAGATTCTCAGTTTAAACGGAGGAAGGAAAAGGGTGACAGGTCTTTGTTTTGCTGTTTAATGAAAAGGGAGTTGAAAGAGCAACGTGAGCTAGCTGTGTGGAGAGACCGCTAAGGGAATATTATAGTCATTTCTGCGGTTTTAAAGATTCTGATGATTCAGGAAAGTACACACGTGCCGATTTCAGAAAGCAGCTGCATTACGTAAGGGTGCTTAAGCACATGTTCACCCTAAAGGACGTGCTTTGAGGTTGCTGCGCCCGAGTTCTGTTGAACAGCGACACTTTCCAGGCGGAAGGTGTCTCATTCTGGAAGGTACAGCTCACTTGGTTGCTAGTTGGACCAGCTAGAATCCAGTAAGAAGTAATTTTACTTGTGACCGTTAGTTTTAATGAAAGACTGTCACCCTAAATTCCCGAGAATGCCAGTTTTGTGTCCTTGCATCCTTCAAGTATGTAAAAGTATTTCTTTACTAAGCTACTATAATAGAGTTTCTCATATTTTTCTAATTATACATTACGTACAAAGAGAGGTGCCCAACACAAGACTGACTTTGCAAGTTGCTGGAATTGCCTAGAAGGAAGATCCTGCTGTCTCTTAATTAAAGTAAAGGTCAAATTGGCTCCAGATTCTTATATGTCAGGCAATCGGAACAACAGCCAAAACCTAAATGGACGTATCGGAACCCCTCAGAATATTTTCAAATATTTTGTAAGTAAGTAAGTGTTTGTGAGTTTCAAGAGCTTGTACTTTGTTACCTGGTCAAAGATGAGGAAAACCTGAGAGTGAAACCAAATTGCTTTTACTTGTCCAAGCTGAAGCAAAAAGTGATGGGGAAAAAAAGGCTGTAAACCTACATCATTAATCAGTGAGGATGGTTAATGCAGACATTTAATTTTAAGGTGGTATTCCCTGTTTCCTGGTATGGCCTATATTCATTACAGGCATCAAGCGATTCAGTCGTGTAGCAACATATGTGAAATTATATTTAGCATTTATCATGCTAACCATCCTGAAGTCTGGTTTTGCCAGTAAGCTTCGGTGGGCGTATATTGGGCTCCTTGGGCACAACTAGCCATACTCAGAAACTATGCAGATAATAACCAAATCATGTAAGAAATTTTTAGTGTTTGGATAAAAGTCTGGGCGCCGCAAGCTTTTTAGTGCTCGTTACTTGAAAAGACCGGTTAGTCAGAATTTTGCATCCCGTTTCCAGTGGAGGCCCTGACGTAGTAGGATTTATCAAAAGATACCATGCAGTGACACCAAAAGTACTTGCTGCGTACTGAGAGTAGATGATACCATGTTCCCGTGAGGGTGGTGAGATACTGGAAGAGGTTGTCCGGAGAGGTGGAGCGCTCTGTCTGTGGGGGGGGTTGGGGGCTTGGCTGGACGTAGCCCACAGCGTCCTGGTCACATCAGGCCCGCTTTGAGCAGGAGTTGGGTAGGGACCTCCCCTCCCCACTAAATTGTTCTGTGACTGTGTAACCAAGGGGCAATGTGTGCTGGCCTCTCCGTCAGGGGATCCAGTTGGTGGTTTTAAATAGCGACCGCTGCGAGATGGCGTTGGCGTATCTTGTGGGTCCATGATTCTGACTGCTGCAAGGAGCTCTGTCTTCATGTGGTAATGAGTTATCATATCCAGTATTCATCTCTCTTGTTTTTGTCACAGTTCTGTATGATTGTGTTATTTTTTGTATTATTTGAAAGTATTTCTTGGACAAAATAAAATAATTTGCCATAAACAGAAGTAGAGTTTTGTTATATGTCACAGCATAAGACAATGTTTGAATGGTTTGCATTTCCCACATTCATGACGCTATCATAAATTCTGCATTTTGAATAACACTGTCATTGAGGTGAAGGTAGAAGTAAGAGAGGAAATCTGTGAGATCAAAGGTCCTAGAGAGGTTACACTAATGAGCTGAAAGGGATGCAGACCCTAAGGAATAGCAGATATATTCTCCCACATGCTTATTACTCACGATAAGCTGACAGCTGTATCAGAGGCTCATGGCTGAACATTCCTGGAATTCATGGGTAGCTCCACTTGCAACATGTTGAACTGCCTTTTTTTCTAATGGAAGATTGTACTTCATAGATTTGTATTGGAAGTTGACGTGACGGTTCTGTATTATCTTACTTAAGGCTAATTCCAAGGTGGAAGCCACTCAGAAGAATACGAGTTAACTTCTTTAGGCTGAGGTTCACTGCTGCTTTCACAAAGGAGATGTTAAACCTGCGTAACTGCAGAAAGCACATTTCTCACTTGCTCTCTGCAACCCCAAGCTGCAGGACCGTGGGCAAAATCATGGTACTGACATAGGACTCCTGTCTCCGTCCAGTATTTGCAAGGCGTTGCGGGTATGACAAAGCTTAGGTTATTTTTAAATCCGCCTGCTAGAAATAGCCATTTGGAATACCAACCGTCTCTGTCTGACTACCATCAGGATCAACTACAAGAGCTATAATGGGTATGGCAGTATGGGTTTTCTGTTATAAGCATAAAGTCTCATATGTATTTCTTGCTGCAGTTCTTGTAAGCGCTTTGCAAGACTTAAAGGTAAGTGTTGTGTAAATAGAGCAAAATTCTTTTTAGGAGTTAGATGAACTATGTATTTTGTTTACAGCAGATGTAAAACTGAAGTTTGAGTTTTTAGGGAAGAGGGCACTTTGCAGCTTGTTTTGAATCCAGTTTCTTTTTTATACTATAGAGTCATACATCTTTGAGAGGAGGAAAAATGTATTTACGGAGAGACTCGAGAAACTGCAGGCTAGCGAAAGCAAGAACAATCTGTTCCGAAACATCACGTGACGAGTATTTTCTTTTTCCTGAGACTGCTCAATTGACAGAGTATCATTGGAAGAAAATACCAGAGATAAAGCTGATTTGGTTTTGGAATCTGTAAATGTCAGTTAAGTGATTTGCTTGCACTCTGGAAAATCTCAGTATTCTTGGAGTTAAAAGCTTCTTACGAGCTGTTTCTGGTTTCTTATGATTTCTAATAGTCTCTTAAATTTGAATATACATATCTAGGTTATAGAATCATGTTTTCTGTAGAGAATTAGCTATTCAGTCTCTTTGGTTTGTTTGCAAATTGACCATCCAACTGTAAATACACTTTCCGCAGGAGGCTTGATGAGTTCAGCTGGGGCAAGAAACAGTAGGAAGTAAATTTAGGAAAATCTGTGCAGGAAAAAATGGGAAATTGAGACCCTTGCCCTCACTTGGTTAGTGCACAAAATTACTGCTCTGCATCTAGGACATGGTGTATGTATTACAGGGGGTGCCTTACGGTGCAGAAATTCCCAGGTGTAGATGCTTGTGTCTGACCAACTGAACGCTGCTTGCCGTTTTCCTTATTTCCCCCTTATAAACTGATTAAGGAAAATTGCAGATACATTATCAAGAAAATAAATTAAGTGCTCAGTGCTTGTTTAACTTCCTCCACAGAATTCAGTTGGCCTATTAATACTGATTTTAATGGGTGCAAACGGCAGACGCTGGCAGGAAGTTTCGACTTCCGTCACTTTTCCACACTTCAGTGACGTGGTTCTAGTAGGGCCTGGGGCTGTTCCTGGCCCGTGAGCGGCAGAGAACTGTCATCTGCAGCGCTGCGGGTGAAGGAAGGGCAGTAATCAGATCTCTGCTCTGAAGGCGTGCTCCTCGCTCCAGAAGTGTGGGGGAACTTAGGGCAAAGCAAGCGAAGTGTTCAAATTTCATAATCCAAAGCCTGTGGTTTCTGTACGGGGAGTCCGTAGCCGACATAAGGAGTACAGGAACTTTTTCAGCTTATAGATAAGAGCTCTGTGCCTTCACCTTGGCAGAAAGTGAGAGCCCCGCCTGCGTCTTCACTCACCCATGGATATTTTCGCACGTGCTTGTGCGAGATCTCCCGCTACCCAGCTGTTGCGTCTGCTTGACAGTACGAAGCACAGCCCTTGAGATGCCCCTGAGGGTAAAACCAGTCTGCACAATACTCAAATATGGGAAAAGGCGCAGTCAGGTGAACGTCCTGAAATAAAACACGTAGCACGTGTTCACACATGTGCAGGATCTTCACAAAGAACAGCTACAGCCTCTGCCGTGCGGAACGTGATCCTAATGGCTCGTACAAAATTTCTAGAATCAGAACTTCTGTAATTATTATTTTTTTGTAGAACTCAAACACATTGTAGAGTATAATAGAATTCTTAAAAAAAAAAAAAAAAAGGAAACACCCCCCCAAACCCCCTAGATCCCCCCAAAATATGGTTCTGAGGTGTAATACTCAGTTAACCAAAATGTGAAAGTCAAGGTAATTGCGTTTGTGGGGGGTTTTTTAAACAAAATGTTTTAGG